ACCCAGGGCCTCACATATTGCTAGGCAAGTACTCTGTCACTGAGTTACATCCCCAGTCCTTTTTATTTTATACTTTGAGATGGGGATCTCACTAAGTTGCCCAGGCAGGCCTCAAACTTTGAATCTTCCTGCCTCAACCTTCCTAGTAGTTGGTATTATAAGTGTGTACCACCATGCCTAGCCTGAACATACTTTTAAATTTTGTATACTTCCCAGATATACAGACTATTTTCCTGTCATTACCCTCTCTAGAGTTTTTTTTCCCCTGCCCTCCAGGTCTGACTGTACAGTGAATTACTATATACTCAACCTGCTCCCAAAGCAAGACCATGTTCCTATTTCCTTTTTTTTTTCTTTTTTTAACATTTATTTTTTAGTTGTAGTTGGACACTATACCTTTATTTTAATGTGGTGCTGAGTATCGAACTGAGGGCCTCACGCATGCTAGGCGAGTATTCTATTGCTGAGCCACAACTCCAGCCCCGTTCCTATTTCCTTTTAAGGATTTTTTCTTTCTTTTTCATTTTGTGGTATTGGGGATTGAACCTAAAGGCACATTTACCATTGAGCTATATCTTTAGCCTTTTTTTATTTTTAATTTTGAGATAGGCTCTTACTAAATTGATTAGGGCCTCCCTAAGTTGCTGAGGCTGGCCTTGAACTTGCGAATCTCCTGCCTCAGCTGTCTGAGTTGCTGGAATTATAGGTTGTGCCATTGAGCCTGGCCATTTTAATGTTTTCACTGCTAACTATCATTTCCCTTTCCTTAGTAGGACTTCTGATTGAAACACTTCATCCATCACAGATAGTGTGGGATATCTGATAAGAGTTTGGAAATAAAGTGTTAATGATTAAGGACAGTTTTATAAACATGAAGAGAAGGTAATAGAGTTGACATTTTTAAGAAAATTTGAGGTCCTCAGTCAGTGTTTTCCTTTAGAATACCACCCAGAGGCAAAGCCCTGACCTAAAGGCAAGTCTGGTTTTCTGTAGTAAACAATTTTAGATCCACTGCAGCATTTGAGACCAGTGTTCATTTGGAGTCATCATTTGAAATTGAAGAATTTGGTAGAAGTGATTTAGAATGAACTGTTTTCAAAGTAAGGATTATTTTTGATCTCCTCAATAATAGAATAAGCCAGGACAGCTCTGAGTTAACATGTGAGCTTGAAAGCATAGTCTTTTTGTACATGCATGTTGACCTAAATAGGCAAAACTACAGACAAATAGCTTATTTGTAAAAAGATTTTTTCTGAATTTGGTTAGAAACTTTTTATATAAAGAACACGAAGATTTTTACATTGATTTCAGTTTTGAGTGTATAATAGTCAGTCTTTCTTGAGTGAATGGATTCACTTGACCTATAGAACAAAAGTATTTTATATGTAACCTGTTATTACTTTTTATATCTTTAGGAAAAATTGTTACTAGAACCAATGTTTGAAGTCCCTAATTCTGATATTGTATGCGTGGAGGTTGACAAAGAAGTAGTAGAAGGAAAAAAGGAACCAGGATACATTCGGTAAAGTGTATTTCAAACCAGAAAAGATCTAAAGTTTAAGATCCTTTTTGGTCTTTATTATTATAGTTTATTGGTCTGTCATTTTAAAATTGCATAATAATCTTTGTGTTTTTATAAAGGAAGTAATCATGAATTTTCTGTAAAATCTAATCTGGGCCTATGAAATAATATTTTGTGAGTCTTTTTGAAAATTGATCTTCAAAATTAGCATCCATTTTTCCCCCTAAGGAAAAATTATCAAAAGAAACATAAAAGTAGTCAAAATTAAGAGATTAAAATGAACTTTACTAATAATTCTTAATTGAAAAAATGACTTTTTTCATATTTTTCATAAGACTAAAACTTTGTGTTCGTAATTTTTTCTTTCAGTAGTTGTACCAGTTGAGAAATTTGACATCTTTCACTACTTTATTTAATCTGTTCCAAGAATCCGCAAACATTCTCATAAAAGGCTAGATAAATACTTTAGGGCTTTATGATCCGTATTGCAACTATTCAGAACTGCCCTTGTGGCACAAGAGTAGCCATAGACAATATGTAAATGAATAAGCATGTCTGTATTCCAGAAAGTCTTTGTTTACAAAAACAGGCAATGGACTGAATCTGGCTCATAAGTTATAGTTTTAATAAGAAATTTATTAGGGAAAATGTTGGAAAGTGTATTTGGCATCTGTGTTGTAGTTTTTCCCATATTTCACTACTAAGCAATCTTAAAAGTACTTGTTTTGCGGATTTTCTGTTTTGTGGATTTTTTAGATAGGGAAATTAATTTACTACTTTGAATCTAGAAATCCTGTTTATCTCTGGTTTTTATTTAAAAAAAAAAAAACATGACTTTCATTATAGGGCCCCAACAAAAGAATCCTCTGAAGAGGAGTATGACTCTGGAGTTGAGGAAGAAGGATGGCCTCGCCAAGCAGATGCTGCAAACAGCTAAACTGTCAGACTTCTATCCTGTATATAAAGCTTTTCCTTCTTATGTTTAGGATCATAACTGTTTCTACAGTCTGACATTAAAGGCATTGAATCTATCTTGGATATCATACATGATCAGAAGCCTTTAGGATAAGAATCAGATCATGTATATTATTGTAACATCACATTGATTTATACAGAGGACATTATGTGGACTTTAATGGCACAATGTTTAGAGATAAAATGTATATTATTTTGGTTCAGTTTTTAAAAAATATGCTTTAACAAAATTCTTAGGTGTTCTTTTAAGCAATGCAGGTATTGCAATAACTGTGGATTTTACAATAATGTTACTCTACAAATGGGAAAATAAATTCTTTAAAATTGAATATTGGGGTACCATTCTTTAGTGTTACCTTTTTCTACCAACATTCATTTCCTGAAAATATTAGAATTTTATTCATCTTAAAAATTGGACCAGGTAGTTTCAAGAAGTTTAAAATTTCATGAAAAAAATAGCCTGAAGACCATAAATTATTTGTTTCGTTATATTCTTAGTCTTATCTGCTATTGTGTGATGCTAACTTCCCATTTGGTACTTACAAAAAAAAAGACATTCTCTTACCGACTTGTCTCATTTATTTGCCATCTTTGAGCCATTTTTAATACTAAGGGTGGGTTGATGGAATTAAGTCTGATATAAATCTTCAGAAAAAGACCATACATCTCATTCTTTAACTAGCATGCAGTGTCATTGTAACAGCCATGTGCAGAATTAAGTAAAATACCCTGATAATGTGTACTTTCCCAAAGTACTAAGCTAGTTTCTTGTTTTCTTTTGGTGCTAGACATCTAATTCTTTGGCTTCATAGAACATTAAAGAAAATGTGTTTTGCCATCAGCTAAAGTGAATGTGTTCACACTAATATAAGTTATTAATCTTCATTATATAGCAAACTAAAAGAGGAAATTTTTTGGACTTAATAAATGAAAATTATATTATTTAATTCCATTATTATTAAATTGGGTACCCTTTAAGGTTTTTTTTCTTTCCTTCTGTAATGACACAGTTTCTATATTATTGTTCAATTCAGTCTCATTTGAAATTGTTTGAGTCAGAGTACCTTTAAGAATTTGTGTTCATTTTTGGGTTTTTAGTCTTTAGTTTTCCTTTTACTCACTTTTTCTTAGGCTATTACCAGATTAGAAATCCTATTGAAGGCTTGGGCTATGATATAATAAAAAGGATGTGAGGTACCTATTTATGGTGGGGTAGGACCAGAAATGCATTTTTGCAGAGTATAGCCTGATTGCTATAGTATGGAATAGAAAAAGTTATCCTTACTCTCCCTAATAATGGTTCACATTCTCTTTAGGAATCGTTCGTATTTTAACTTTGTTCATTATCTTTCTCTTATAGCATCATTTTCCTTTTTGTAGAGTGAAAATTGGGAGTAGTTATATTAAGATCCTCCAGAAATGGACTGGGTGACATTATGGTCAACAATTTACCTTTGGTTTCACAAGTTGTTAACAAAGCATAGTTGATATTTTTAAATCAAACACAAATGAATACAACTACAGTTTGTATCTGGGAACTTATGTTTTGGCATTTGAATAAAACAAAAGGACTAAATGAAAGCTATTGTGGTGGTGTGTCAATATTGCAACAATGCAGGAACCTCTACATTGACAGTAAAAAGGACAGCCAGAGCAGTGCTGAGGTGGGCTCTTGCTGTGTTGCCTAGGCTGGCTTTGATCCATATGCTTCAGCCTCCCAGTAGCAGGGATTATAGATGCATGCCACCATGCCTGGCTAGCAGTGCCATTTTAAAAGGGCACAGATGTTATATGAGCTGCTTTATTCCAGGGATTGGTTAATCCCTGGCCTTTCATGTCCCTCTAACAAATATTCCTAGTTATAGATTCAGAGAAAGTTTTATTAAAATTTATGTTAAACATTATTGCAAATCCTTACTTAAATATCCTGCATGGAATCTGACACTAAGGACGCAGACCAAGCTTTTCAAGAACCTTACTAGTTTTCTAAGGGAAGTAAGCATAGACTTCATTGAATTATAATAGTGGGGGTGTGGTGGCCCAGATGAGTCTGGAAGAATAAGTAGGAATTGTCCGGTGGAAAATGAGGATTAAAATCAGTAATGGTATACAACTGTGATCCCAGTGACTCAGAAAGCTGAGTGATCAAGTTGAGGACAACCTCAGCTATTTAGCAAGACTCTGTCTCAACAAAAAAAAGGGGGGGTGGTGGTGGTGCTAGGGATGTAGCTTAATAGTAGTGTCCCTGGGTTCAATCCCCAGGGTCACTAAAATAAGAAAAGAAAAAAAGGGTTAAAATCAGAATCTCAGAAGTGTGAAACAACTAGAGAACCTTAGGAGTTGAGAAATAGGTAGCAACTATGGCTTTCTGTTGTTATTTCATTGAGAAGCCATCTCTGAACCTACCAACTGCATCATCCAATCTTTCTAGTTAAAACCGAAGGGTCCCCCTTACCAAAATGCAAACACTTCACACATATGATTTGAGTCCCATAATCCCCTCTCATTTCTCAAAGCCTCCAGTTCTTTTATTACATTAACTGTTTTCTTCCTTGTGAATTATTCCTAGAAACATCAAAATATTGCTGAGAATTCCTTATCCTATAGCAAATCTCCCAAGCCTTTTCACTTATCTTTCCAACTACACCATAATTCCCACTAGGGTGAAGACCAAACTTGTTTTGTTCACTATAATGAGTATTTACCATAGTGCTTCATATATTTACAGTGATCTGTATACTTTTAAACACTTTGTTCCCCCAGAGGATTGTGCACAATGAAAAAAGTAAATCCCAAATGGTTATACACTATATGATTCCACATATAAATACATAACATTCTTGTCAGAACAAAATTTATAGAAATACAGAATAGATTAATGGTTTCCAAGGATTGAGGAGAAGGTGGGTTAAGGGGGAAAAAAATGGAGTGACTATTAAAGGACAAATGAGGAATCCTAGCAGGGACAGAAACATTCTGTATCTTGACTGTAGCAATTGTTAATATACTGGTTGTAATACGTAATTGTAATATGTAATCTGCAATTCTGCAAGATGTTATCATTAGGGGAAAGTACACAGGATCTCCCTGTATTTCTTCTTACAGTTGCATTTTAATTTGCAATTGTCTTCAAATGGCATGGTTTTCCCTTCACCATTGTTTCCTCTGGATTTTATAACTTCTGTCCACTTCCCCAAGATCACGAGGTTCCCCTTGAAGTAGGATAGAAGGAATAAAGATAGGTAAAAAGGAGACAAAAGGGAAGGAAAAAAGCCTATAGCTGTAACTCTAAAAGCCCCAAGCTTGGACCTTCTCTCCAGATATCACTCCCAGGCTTGTCATTCCCAGATTTCTGGGAAATCTACAAAATCTTTTTAAAAAGAGTTACTACAAATTCACTCATCTATGAAAATTGCCTCATTTGATTAAATAGGTGCACTGTTAGCATACATAATTTAGACATATTCCAAAGATTGATTAGATAGAAGAGATAATGTCAAGCTGAAAATCCTGGATACAGACCAGATAACCATAAACAGCTTGTGATTTATGATCAAAGAACTGAGTTCACCAGGCTGACAAGGGTCCCACATAACCTTACCACGTCTACCCTTCATAAAGTTTCCTTTAAAAGAAAAGCCCCAGTCAGGCATGGTGGCCCCCGGGTTTATAATCCCAGCGACTAGGGATTTGAGGCCAGCCTCAGGAATTTGGCGAGGCCGTGTCTCAAAAAATAAAAAGGACTAGGAGTGTAGGTGAGTGGTGGATCACTTCTGGGCTCAATCCCCAGTACCAAAACCAAAACAAACCCGCGTTCTGCTCTTGAAAATGCTTATCTTCACCTTTCACTTTCTAATAAACACCTTCATATGTTCTAAAACTTGATGCTTTCTTAAATTCTCTTCTGCAGTGTGTCAAGAGCCTTGAAGGTCTAAGTAAACGTCTCCTCGAACCCTCTTACGGTGACACCCTCAGGTCTTTGCTCCACACACACGGGCATTCCTTTACTTCCCTTTGGTCCCCCACCACCACTAGTTATACTCCTATCCAATAGCACATGCTGTTCCCATCTGGACCATGCTTCTGTCTCTTCCATATAACTCCTGTTTGTCCTTCAGATCGCAACAGAAGCCTCAAATCCTTAGGACGGAACTTTAAAACTCTGACCAAGTCGAATATCATCATTACACTTCGACATTTGTTGCATGATTAATGGGTTTTCTTTTACTAGACAATTCCAGGAATAGACTGCCTCGTTGTCTCACTTGCACGGAGCTCATAGCTACGCATCAAGAATACTTAGAAGAGTATTTTTTTATTTGAAAGAGTGAGAATGCAATCAACGCCCGCCCTTACACTGCGCTTCTTGGAGGGACGTGTCGTAAGGAGTCGCGCATCGCAAGACGTCACTTCCGCCCGGAAGACTCACTGAGAACCGCTGGAATTCCTGTCAATTCTCAGCATCTCCGTCCGTGAATATGGCTTTACCGCCCTTCTTCAACCCGGGTCGCCCGGGCCCGCCGCCCCCGCAGCCACCGCCTCCTACTCCTTTCGGCTGTCCGCCACCGCCGTTGCCCTCCCCGGCTTTTCCGCCGCCTCTTCCCCAGCGGCCCGGCCCTT